ATGTACTATGACTTGTATGCAGAGGAGGGTTCCAATTGGTTTGCATCCATGGGAGTTGTTCAAAAAGCTGTGAAGATGAGAAAGAAGCAGAGAGCAAGACCTGGAGAAGAAGGGAATGTGCAGCTCAAAGAGTAGCCCCTGGGAAAACAGAGAAGTCCCACAAGGCAAGGTGGCATAAAGAATTAGAGGGAAGCTGAGAGAGAGCATCACAACTACAAAAAGTAGTCCAAATAGACCCGTTGCTTCTTGCCAACTCTTCTGACCCATGCAAGGTGTGCAGATTCATTATCAGATTTTACATTTTGTAAATCTATGATTTTGCATTTTGCAGTCTCCAAAACAAATCCCAACCCACACAAACAACTAGATCCAGGTGAGTTTGCAACAGAAATTCAGTGTCTTTCCTTTAAAACAAAACCATCACATTTTGTTGTGCACAGGGCACCCCAAAACTACAATTAAGTGGTGCAAGTTTCAAGATTAATGCATTGGTCTACTGTATACCTTTTGTTACACATTCACTTATAAAACAAGCACTGCTTTTAGCTTTAAACAAAAATACGGAATAAGTACTGAATGCCTTAACTGTCCTGTATTTCTCTTAATCAAATAAGCTGGAAGGCCGTACTTCCTGGAGGAGGGGAGAGAAAGGAACACCCAAAAACTTCAATTTTAAAAAGTCACAACTGTCAAGGTAGCACAGAACTGTATATAAAATTAAGCAGATTCTATCTCAATACATGATATTGGCTGGGGAGCTATTTTCTAGGAGAAACGAGAGAACATATAAACGTTTTGCAATAAACAAAGATATAGCTTTTTCCTTTTATAAAAACCTCAGCTGCCTTTAAAATTAAAAACCTCCAACTAACCCCCTCCTCCTGTTGCCATTCTGCTGAGACAGATGTAGGGAAGGAGAAGGATGAGTTTGCCAAATTAACTATCCTGGCTACCTGTGGGCGGGATATGAAAAAAAAAATGGCTTGAGCCACTCAATAGTCACGTGGGGGCAAGTGGTTGGTTTGGTTTTTGAACAGGCAGGTAAATGTCATATCCGCTGTTTCAAACTGCTTTGTTGAAAGGATCCATTCAAGTTTTAATTAAATACAAAACAAATTTAATAGAGGTTGAAAATGTTTCACTGAGCTATAACTAAGAATATGATTTTGATGCCAGTTTCATTTTTTAATAAGGATTGATGTTTCAGAATACTTATTTATCCTTTACAAGAAATTCTCCTACTTCCATTGGTATTTATTTACTAAGCTCAATTATTCATTTGCAAACACTGTGCTAATTACAATGTTCTTCACCAAAACATTCTATCATGTATGGAATCAAAACATTCCAACTCTTAGAAAGAGATGTTGTTAGAAAGATAGTAATTAAGAGTTGGGAGCTTTAATAGTATATAGTTTTATTACTCAGGATAATGATAACAGGGCATAGAGTCTTTCTCTGGGTTGTCAGTTCAACTTTAGTCCAAAGCAATAATGAACATTGCTTATCATCTGATGGCACTTTGAAAGCAGGTAGTGATAGTACAGTTCCTGAATTATCTATATAGTGGTTGGTATTAACCTTCAGCTTACATTATGTAGGTGAGTATGAAATTGCCATCAAAATGTTTTTGTCAGAAAATGGAATTTTGCAAAATTGAAATTTTCCACTTGAAAAGTTTGATTTCCACCCACCCCATGTTTTAAAATTTACCTGAAGAAAAATAAAACATTTTTGGGGGGTTTCTTGAATTGAATTGAAATGTTTTATCTTGGATCAGCTCATTGTTAAACTGTGTTCTTGAGCTGCCACAGTACTTCATGGGGCTACAGTTCAAATGTCCCCATTCTCTCTCTGCTGGGCTGCTTGGTAAAATTGCATCTCCCACAATGGTTTGTGGTCTGCTCTCTGGTTGAACTGCTGTGGTGCATCTTTGAGGATGTAGTCAAGCTGAAGAGCCTCTCTCCGAGGGTATGTCTACACTACCCTCCTAATTCAAACTAGGAGGGAAATGTAGGCATACCGCACTTGCAAATGAAGCCCGGGATTTGAATTTCCCGGGTTTCATTTGCATGAAGCCGGCCGGCGCCATTTTTAAATGCCGGCAGTTCGAACCCCGTGCCGCGCGGCTACACGCGGCACGGAGTAGCTAGTTCAGATTAGGCTTCCTAATCCAAACTAGCTGTACTCCTCATTCCACGAGGAAATATCAGACAAGAATGAAAGTTGAAATGCAGTTCAGCACAGTCATATCAGTCTGGGTTATAGCAGTGGGCAGATCAGGCAAAAGGAGAAAAGGCTTTATTTGTCATGTTTTATTAAAAATAAATCTGCACTTCTCTAAGTAGTTCTGTGAATCCTAGCAGTCCTCATTCAATTGAGTTTCACCAGACTAACTATGATTGACTTTCTGAAATCCTGAGGTGAGCCCACTTACTGCACCTCTGTGGTTAAAACAGTTGTCTACAATTCCAGTAAAAGCTACTTTTCTTGAAACATGAAAACAGAAGCTACTTGCAACTGATACCTGACATACAAAGGCCTTGAAAGGAGTGTTCCCTCTATTTTTTATATATCTGCATGCAAAATTAATTTTGTTCTTTGCGGCAATATGGAGGTGATGTCTGACACATAACATCCATATTAATGCACATCACAATACTCAATTCTCAAATGCATGGTGTGTGGTGGGGGGAGCTGAAGGATTAAAAGTATGAGGGGAGCTCAGGGCCAAGGAAGAGAGTTGGAGTGTGTGTGAGGGCTCTAACTAGATTGCGGAGTGAAGGGGGGTAGAATCTGGGGTGGAGCCTGGAATACAGGTTTTGGAGTATAGGAGGCAAGCCCAGGGCAGCTCTGCAGTAGGGCCAACAGCCAGAGGCTGGTGGTCAGAGGCACCTCTCCCTGGCCATGGCAGGTGTGTGTTGGGGCCTCTCTCAGTCCATGGAAGCTCCATTCTGGGGCTGGTGGGAAGAGGCCCCTCTCCCCAGCCACAGCAGTCCTGCACTAGGGTTGGCGGAGAGAGGCATCTCTCACCACTACAGCTCTGAGCCTCTGTGCAGAGCTTCATAGGTAGCTGTACAGCTTCTGGGAAACATAGCTTGAGAGTCTTCCCCATTTCTCTCATTGTCTTTGTTTTATAACCAAATTTTCTTTAAATCCATTTAGTCTCTATAACATCCTTTTGGTTTCAAAAAACATAATTAGGACAAATTATTGAATTTTGAAGTGATCACAGAGGATGCAACGCTATTATGTACATGCTGCAGTTGCATAGCAGTATCTTTTCCACTGGATTATTTATTACTAAAAGACTTACCTGGCAGTGCTGGTGATGTGGGGGGTGAAGAAGTCAGAACAGTGTCTTTGGGATGTAGAGATCATAGCACATGGGAGGGTGCCGGGGTGAGGGGTGAGGACGGATTCAGGGCAAGATGTGAGGAGTGTAGGAATCAGGACAGAGGGTGAGGAGGGGCTCATGGCAGGGTGTGTGAGTGGCCACTAGCTTCTCCCTGGGTGGAGCCAGGGCAGTGGGGACTGTGCACCCTGCCTGCTGGCTTGTCTCCAGGAGCCAGCAAGGGCTCTCTCCCTCCCCAGTGGCCCCTCGTGGGCCAGCGGGGCCTCTCTCCCTCCCCCCCAGTCCAGCTCAGGGTGGAAGAGGCTCTCTACCTCCCCACTTTCCTTCTGGCAGGCTTGGGGAAAGGAGGCTCTCTCCCTCTTCTCTGGCTCTTCCCAGTTCTCCTAGCACAACCAAACGGTGACCTTGCTTTGTTAGGAGAAGAGGTAGCTGCATAATAAATCTGGAAGGTAGGTTAGTTATCTTTAAGATCCGTGGCTCTAGATCCAAGCATAGTTTCCTGTTCCAAGTTACCCTATTCCTCTAAGTCCAGATCCCGTTCCACAGGAAAGTCCTTTTTTATGTTTACTTATATTTTTAATCATCCCCAATAAAACACATCTACCTCCTCAATTTGCATAACTTTAACTCCAACCTCAGAAGTGAAGAGCAATAACAGAATGTACATTTTTCCAGTCAAATGTTGTTGGTAAAATGAAGCTATCTTACTGAGATAGAAGTTAAGATAATTCAATTTAGTGAAACTTGAGGAGTTCTATGTGTGAGGTTGGATATTAAGAGGAAGTTTAGGGTAGGAGTGAAGGTTTTGAAAGTGCATTTGGGTTTTGTAATGTTAAAACTGCAAGGCTTTGAGGTTGCTGTAGATATTAATATCTTAACTAATGATTTCTTTGATTTTTAATGTTTGCATTACCACCAGTATAACCTTAACAGTATAAGTTATTTAAATTGTTGGGTGTTTATATGATATATTCAAAATTCTCTTAATAAAAAGTATATATAACACTTCTTACAAACCATAGTTCATGTGTATAAATCATGAACATAAAGTTATCCATCTCCATAATTAGTGCAACAGTGGACACCGTATCAGCATACATGCTCTTTACTTTACATCTGCTATCAAGGACTAACAATGGCCTTCATTGAAATGACCTTAATTTTAATCCCCGTTTGAAAATGGACATTATTATAGATGAATGACCCAATGGTTACACCACACTTGCTAATTAGAATATTCATTTGTTAAACTGTTGTAAATCAGATTTTTTTAACCTGGTCATTTTAAAGGGTAATTTCTTTGTTTTGTGACAGTTTTTACAGCTGTCAACTCTTTGTTAATTGTTCATTTTTCTGACTTGCCTTTTTTGAATATAGTCTTTGTTAACCCACAGATCTTATCAATAACATATCAATTGTCAGTGTTTGGAATCAACAACTTTATATGTGCTGTTCACTCTTTTTCATGGATATATTGCATTTCTTAGTATGTTAGAAGCATTTCAACACTTGCATTTCTTATTTTTTAAGCAATTGAGTGAATTAGGTTTCATTTTACATGCACTTTAAATAGCCTTAGATTGTAAAAGATTAATAGACTGAATCTTTTTTTGACTTTCTTCTTCATTTTCTATTGTTTTCTTAGTACAAACAAGTGGAACAATACATGTCATTTCACAAGTTACCCGCTGACATGCGCCAAAAAATCCATGATTACTACGAACACCGTTACCAAGGCAAGATCTTTGATGAGGAAAACATTCTCAATGAGCTCAATGATCCCCTTAGGGAGGTAAGACATCAACAGACAAAAACAGTCCTGCTTGATTTGGAAAGGCTTTTCTTCTTTAATGTGGGATATTTCTATACTAAGAAAAAACTTTCTTCTTTAGCCATTTTGTATTATTTTAATGTCTCTAGTCTACTACACTTGTCACCAGGATATCTGAACACCTATCCCTGAATAGCAATCTATGAACAGGAACAGAAATCCTATACTAGACTGCTGCATAGATCATAAATGCAAAGAAGTGGACAATTACTTGTGTTCATTGTTTACTCCATATATTGTCATAGCCCTTATTTGACTATGCAAGAATGTTAGGATAAATAAAACCTATTTATGCTTCTGTTCAGTGAAGAGGACATGGGTTATTTACCAGGTACCCTCCTCTGCAAGCATGTTGGTAGAATGGGGCAAAATGGGATATCCAGGGAAAAGCCTTGATAACACCATTTCTACATGCTATAGATTAGCTGACTGGAGGAAGAAACTGTTTTAGAAAAATAGCCAGGGGAGCAGTTTACTAGCTAATAATAATAATAATAAATCGCATTTTTCCATCAATAGATCTCAAAGAGCTTCACAAAAATGATCAGTATCATTATCCCCATTTTACAAATTGGGAAAGTGAGACACGTAATTGTGAAGACACTTGCCCAAAGTCACACTCAAAGCCAATGGTAGAGATGGGAATAAAAGTCAACTCTCTATTCACAAAACCACAATGTGTAAACAGGCCTCCCCTTGGGGAAGTGTAGCTGTGCTACACAAACACACAATCAAATCCACTGTGGCTGCAAAAAAGAATCCAATAGGGAAAAAAAAAGACAGTCCTTTTTTGGAAGAAATAGTCTGCTGTAGGAATTTCTGTAGACTGGGTATTGAGTGAGGAGAGAGAAATGGCTAACTGGTATTAACAAAGCCATATATGTAGCAATTATATACATAAGTCCCTGAGTCATGCACTCTTTTGCTGGATGGTAAGTCATTGTCAACCTATCAAGTGTGTGTATGTAATCCTAACAACCTCTCCTGGCTTCAGTCTGCAGAGATACCTTCTAAGGAGAAAGAACTAGGAAGGGGTATGTCTACACTACAAAGTTAATTCAAACTAACGGACGTTAGTTCGAATTAACTTTAATAGGCGCTACACTAGCGCTCCGCTAGTTCGAATTTAAATCGAACTAGCGGAGCGCTTAGTTCGAACTAGGAAAACCTCATTTTACGAGGATTAAGCCTAGTTCGAACTAGCTAGTTCGAATTAAGGGGTGTGTGGGAGGCTAGCCCTCCCCAGCTTTCCCTGGTGGCCACTCTGGCCAACACCAGGGAAAC